ATATATCAATAAAGATCAGCTAAAACATGGGTAATTCGACATTTGACTGAATTTTGCTGCTGTTTAGGATGCGAACGTGTATTTGTATGGAATATTCTTTATCGTTGTCATGCGCAATTTATCTATATATTATGATGAGTATCTACCTACAACACGAGGATGCACCTACGCGCCCGAGACCGCTCCAAAACACGATCGGTCGGCAGCGAAATTAATTATTATATATACATTAATAACATAGTCGTATTATTCTTGCCGGAAATCATTATCTCTAATTCGTCGCTGCCGTCGTTTTGAGCGCACCGAGTCGACTCGTATGATTGAGCGTAATTTATTATTATTCATTTAACCTTCCGAGGTCACSAGTCGTTCGGTTGCACGCGATTCGCGGGCTGCTATAAGTACGATACACAATAACGTTCTGATGAACACATCAAGGTCGTTGCAGTAACACAACAACAACAATTAAGAACAGCCTATGGTTACCAATAACTGTCATACCCACGCAACGAGAGACGTGTGACGGTACTTCGGTACAGTCGGTTGCCACGTAGTGGCCGCGGTGCATTTGCGTCTATGCACGTCTGCTCGCAGTTCGTCTATACGTAGTTATTACACAGTGCCGTTTTTTCACAAACATCTTATAGGCTCAAGCCTTTTTGTCGACCACCCATAAAGCTATAACGACGCGAGTCACTCGCACACAACAAATAACCAAAAAATTTCCGTTCCCAACCATCGCGGGCGCCATGTCCGCGACGCAGCTGCTTATCGAAACGGTGGCCGGCTGGTGGACGGTCGGGGTGCTGACGTTGTTAGTGGCCGTGGCGTACCACTTCTCCACGTCCACGTTCGGCTACTGGCGCGATCGAGGCGTCCCGTACGTGAAGCCGACGGTACCGCTGTTCGGAAACATCGGCGGGTTGGCCCTGGGCATCGAACACCAGGCGCGCATGTTCAACCGGATCTACGACGGGTTCCGCGGTCACCGGTACGGCGGGTTATACCAGATGCGCACGCCGCACCTGATGATCTGCGATCCGGCGCTGGTGAACCGCGTGCTGATCGGCGACTTTGCGCACTTCACCGACCACGGCATGTACGCGGCTAGCCCGGAGGAGAATCCGCTGGCCAACGGGCTGTTCAACATGAACGGCGCCCAGTGGAAGATCATGCGGCAAAAGCTGAGTCCCGTGTTCACCGCCGGCAAGCTGAGGCACATGCGCGGACAGGTGGCCGAGTGCAGCGAGCAGCTGATGCGCAACGTGGCCGCGGACGTGACGGCCGGCGGTGGCCAGATGGAGATCCGCGACGTGCTCGGCAAGTACTCGACCGACGTGATCGGCACGTGCGCGTTCGGACTGCACTTGAACGCCATCAACGACGAGCGGTCCTCGTTTCGCAAGTACGGCAAGGCCGTGTTCGCGCCGTCGATCCGCGTGCTGCTCAAAGAACTGGCCTGGATGGTGACGCCGGCGCTACGACGCGCGCTCCGAATCAGCGACATCCCGCTGGACGCCGCGCAGTTCTTCACCGCCGCGTTCACCGACACGATGAAGTACCGACAGGAACAMGGCATCGTCAGGGATGACGTCATGCAGTCGCTGATCCAGGCCAGAACCGACCTGGTCGTCAACAAGACCGAACCGTCAGGTATGATAATATTGTTATGATGACAAAAATGTCTGTAGGTCGACTAGGTCGTAAATATTATACATTATATGGTAGAAGATACACTGCAGATACCTATGTTTATAGGTGACCCGTCAC